TCAGTAATAAAGGCACTCCTCCAAGAAGTTGGAGGAGGTTCAGTTCCTCAATGCTGCCTGGCTTGATCTGAATTTGCATCTCTCAGCTCATCTCCTCTGTGAGCACACACATCTGATTTAATTCAACACCTTGTTTTCTCTTTGGTCTTTGTTTTTGTTTAGTTTGTGTTTTCCTTTCAGTATTTCTTATACTTGTACCTATTTTTATTTTTAACAAAAAACAAAACAAAACAAAAAAAAAACAAACAAAAAAAAACCCCAAAACAACAAAACAAAACAAAACCAACCCAACGCCAACCCTTGCAACTCTGAGAGCACACAGCCCACAGGGCTGGAGCTGTGCATACATCTCATGTGGTTGAAATAGTCAATGAGGAACATGCCATCTGTGAACACGAAGCTTTCTTTTCTTGGCACTTCTTTCCAAATACACCACTGAAATTTCTGCTATGGACAAAAATGCTTACTTGCCAGATGACATTTCTAGTAAATTAGTTTTGTGTGATAGGGCCCTGGGATTTTAGCAGACAGTTTCACCATAACACTGCAAAAAAACCAGCCTCAGAAATCACAGAATGTACCAGATAAAAATTGCATTGGAACACTGCAATAATCAGATTTTCTTTAATAATTAAATTTTCCTTCCTGCATGTTTTTAGAATTGCCATTCTGGAAATGTGGAAATGACATACTGTTTGACTAAATTCTTATTTGCTCAGTGTTCCCTGAAACAGAAAAGTTTCACCCTGCTTCTGTGCAGCATATGGGCTCCAGTGTCACCGAGCAGCAGACCCTGTTTTGCTGACTTAGTGCAGTATTTAATTATCCCACTGTGGGGATGTTATGATATTTTAAATATTTAAGTTGCAGCATTGAGGCTTCCCTTCTTAGCTACTGTGAGCAGCCTTGGAGCAGACATTCCTTCTGTCTGTGCCTTGAGCAGAGGAAAGGAGGGAAGGAATATGGAAATACACCCCAATTATGTAAGTCTGAGCAGCAGACTTAGCAGAAGGATTTCACTGTCATATTGCTTGTCAGACTTGCTTCTTTTGTATAAAAAAAGAGACAGAAGAAAGATGCTAAAGCTGCCTGAAATAGATATTTTCATAACATTTTTATTACCTGGGGCTGATAAACAGAATTAATGGTTTCAGTCCACTACCCTCCAATAAGAATAACAATTAGTGTTACTTGCTTACCACCACGCAGTCAAATACAACCACATAATTGCAGAAAGAGGAGAACAATTACATGAAAAAAAATCCCCAAATCTGGTAGAAATTTAAATCATATGATTATGCTCATAGTTTTGAAAAACATGTTGTTACTAGGACATCTATATCTCCTCCTCCTTTTGTGCCTTGTCTTTCTTACATCCTTTACTGTAATTTAAATTGCATTATTAGTTCACTGTGGCAAGGAATGTGTCTTACAATGCTAAAGCATTGCACTTGCAGAGTTTTTGTTCCTTCTTTGGAATTTAGTCTCAGCAGTCAAAGAAAGTAGTGCACTGATCACCCTCCTGTTGGAAGGTAACACTATCTCGGTTGCAGAGGGATGGGGAAAACACCAGCATACCTGGATGTGAAAAACGCCAATCACTTGGTTTTTAAAATTTCAAAAGTTTAATAATAATAAAATGGTTATAAAAATAGTAATACAATTAGAGTAATAAAATTTAGAGTTAGGACAATTACAAGACAATAAAAAGCAAAAGAATTACAGACTTCCGGATGCTCTCGGAGACTCAGTCACGAAACAAAGGAATAACCTTAAAAACAACAGCCTGTTGCATATTCATATATCCTTCATGGTCATGCATACATTCTATTTAAAACAAGAACTCTGTTGTATGTCAACTGTTTCCTTTAATCCCCAAGGCCTCTTCAAGTCTGAGCAAGGCTTGAAGAAATTAGCTTCTTCTGATAAGAAAACCATAAATTCCTCTTCTCTGGAAAATTTAGGTGTTCCTCGAAGCGAGTACCTCATTCTTTTAAAAAAAAACCCTTTCACATAGCAGAGTTTCTATTTTGACATTATGTTGGAAACTAAATTTAACACGCTATTTAAGAGAATTAATGCAGCTTAACTTTCTAACATCACACATATAATATTAATTGTAACATTTGCCAAAAGCCAATCATAAAATATACATTTTTCACACTGGACAAACTGAACTAGAGATTTTTTCTCGGTTTTAATTTTTTATTATTTTCTTTTCAGTTTGTCCATGCTCTCCTCTAGGCTACTTACTGCCACTTGCTACTTGGCATCAGATTGCAAATAACTCAAATAACTCTGAGTTTAATTCTCTAAGTAAACTTGGTCTAGTGAGTACTTCTGGAAAGAAAAAATTAATAATTCCTTTGATTGCAACTGAAAAACATTGTTTTAAAACATTCCCATGCTAGGGGAAACCCAGCTGCAGTCAGTCCAAGTACATGATCCATAAATTCCCAAAACCAGAACCGAGTGCCAAATAAAACTGCATTATCTGTGAAAACAGTCATAAGCATTCTAAATGCTACAGAAGTACAAGGCTGGCACATATCTGGCCAAAAGCCGTCTACACATCAGTCTACACATCACTGCTCTGCCCCTGCAGCACAGTGCAGCAGCTGCTCGCCTCACATGGCAGCGCTGCACTTTCCCTCAGGCAGTGAAAAATACTCAGAAGAAAAGAAGGCAGCTTTACCAGAGGAAGGAAGAGCTGAGGAGCTGCCTGGGCTCCCTGGCCAAGCGGGAGGAAAGCAGAGCCCGAGCTCCTCTTTGCTACCTGGGCTCAGCCTGCTCCGGTCACCAAGGGAGGCTGAGGCCCCACAAGAAAATGGCTGTAAAATAAAAGTCCTTATCACAACAAGTAAGGCACGAGGGGACAAAATCAGTCTGCTTTTGCAACTTTCATCTTGGCATTTTTCATTATGTATATTTTTTGACTTTGCATGCTGTGGTCTTTTTCTTTGTTATATACAGTGTGATTAACCTCTGTTAAAAGGATAAAAGGGAAACCTGAGGGGTTATCCTGTGGATTTTTCAGATGTGAATGCAGCAGAGATACAGCAGATAAGAGCCACTACACTTGTTTGCACTAGTGCAGCCACAGCAGAGATAAAAGTCCCAGTGTCACAGCTTTTACCCAGGCATGGGCCCCTCGGTGGGTGGTGGCTGGTTTTTTACCTTTATGGTTTCTCTGGTTACTGCATTCCTGCCTGCATGGACAGTGTAACCACTCCACCACTCCGTCTAGTCAGTACTTCCTCTCTCTGGTTCATACCACTTTTCTCTGCATAAGCACTAGATACCATTTGTTGCTCAAGACACTGTAATAGCACTTTCATTTCCCCATCCAGGGATGGCTTTGCCTCTTTGGAGCTATAGAATAAAATTACTGCAGTTCTTAAATGCCTTCCTTTTGCTGGCAGATTGCTGAATTGTAATCATCTGTGTAAGAGTTGGATGCCTCCAGTGACATATGGATGTGCTGCACACATTGTCTGTGCCCTGTGCAAGGTCAAGTGCTTGGAAAGAAGCCCAAAAAGCTTCCTGGCTCAGGAAATGTGGACGCACAGTGAGCAGAACATCGGGGTGACCGAGAGAAAAGAGGACTGACCCACGTGGCATGCTGGGGTAAGAGGTCCTGGCTACCTGTCAGGGTAATGCTCTCAGGACTGCTCACACAAAATAATCCTGGGGCAGCTTGTCTTGCTTAGGAAGCCAGAAGTCGTCCTGTCCCATGGACACAAACCATGCCCTTAGCCAGCTCTGACCTTTGCTTACACCCTGAACTGCCATCTGTGGGGACAGTTGTATCCAGACACCCCAACTGTCCTCCGTATCTTAAAACAGCTGCTCCATTTTAAAGAGATTTTTGAAGTATTTTTTTGTTCCTGAGTGTTGCATCCCCAGAGGAGGAATGGGTAACAATTCTGTACTTATATTAGGCAACAGTTCCTAAAAATTATCAGTGCTCAATTAGTGAAGCAGGGGTTGCTTCTCAGAATCACCATTTGGTAAGCGCCTGTGAAAAGCTACCAGAAAGGATATGATTGACTAAAATAGTAAATTAATTCATGTCTGGTGGTGTGTATTTTGCTCTTTGATGGTGAAAATTTAACTGAAGCATAAAGCTCAGTGTCAAAGCAAGAGAATTTCTGGGAGCCAGGTTTTTCCTATTTCTAATCTTGATTTCCTTTGTCTCTTTCCATTCAGGATGAAGTAGCAGTACTGGACTATTTTGCTGGCTGTGATAGGAAGGCAAACTGGTGATGGATTTTGACCTGACTGGTACGGTAGGATGTCTACAGGGTGAGGCTGGGTACAGTACAGAAGTTTCCCCACTTTTGTGCTGGCTGGAGATGCACCACCCCAGAGCACAAACTTATCTTTGCTCGGGTTCCCAGAGTGGTTTAATGCACATTACACAGCATGAATACTTTGTAAGACCAAAGCAGCTCTGCTTACTGATGTCCTTGTGCTTGATGTGGTACATGAGGATTGGTTCTATTGATTAGCACTAAAATGTTGTCTCTGCCTATTTTTGCCTACTCCAAAGAAGGTTCTGCTGGCTTAAGCCAAACAAAACATTTTGTACCATTCCACCAGCTAGCTGCAGTAGCTGCAATAGCCTTGTGATTTCCCTATGGCATTACTTTTGCCACCTTCCTGAGCCTGACACTAAGCACGAGGATTTTGACTGTAACAGAAGAGGTGAGTTCACCAAATACTGTTTCACAAGGAGGAAAAAAAGAGAAAAGAAAAGAAAAAAGAAAAGAAAATAAAATAAAAGAAAAGAAAAGAAAAGAAAAGAAAAGAAAAGAAAAGAAAAGAAAAGAAAAGAAAAGAAAAGAAAAGAAAAGAAAAAGAAAAGAAAAGAAAAGAAGAGGGAGAAAAGAAAAGAAAAGAAAAGAAGAAGAGGGAGAAAAGAAAATTCCCTCTTGTGCTTTGCCTGAACTGACAGTGTCTAAACCTGTGACAATGACGTGGCTGCTGCTGGCAGCCACAGCTGACAATGCTCTGGTGGAGGTGGAGGATCAGTCTCAGTGAATTCGTGGTAGGTATCTCTGTGCCTTCAGCTTTCTCTTGTGCAATTGCAACAAAATTCACCACCTGAGCTATACAGGACTACTCATTCAACAGGCACAACCTCCCTGCCTGAGGAAGTGCTGTTTATTCAGATAAGGGCTGTGGAGCATCTTTGCTGCCCCTTCAGAGCTCCAGTGACTTGGCTAGGAAGCTGCACTTGAAGGGTGTCCCTAAGGTGCCATTGACACACTTTCTTGGGTGACACTTCAGCTTTTCACACTCCAGGACCATTAATGCATTGTCCAGCTGTTGCCACACATTTAGACAGGCTACCTGCCATATGCTGATGTAAGATAAGTCATTTTAATCATATATAGGAGAGCAAACTTTTGAGATTTTTTTTATTTTTTCATCTTATGATGTCTTTGCTGGAGAAGAGTTGCTGCTGAGAATAAATCATTTTTATGCCAGCAAGAATACTTGTCTAGCACAAACAGTTTCTCCAGTAGAGAAAAGTTTATGCAGCCTACGTGAATTTTTAATGTAGCTACAGCTTTTGCTCTTAATATAACAAGGCTTCCTGAAGTATGTGTTCTGTCACTAGCGGCTCATTGCAAATGCCAAATATAAAATAATTAATAACAAAATTGACTCCCAAATTAAAGAAAAAATGTAGTGGTCCAGAAATACGCTCATTAATCATTCTGTAGACCAGTAGAAATCAAGAGTCGTGAATTAGCCCTGTCCTGTTCCTCCCCTAAGACATGGCTTAAAAATCAGGAGTCATGTTTTTATAGTTAAATCAGTCTGAACTATTTTGCTCACTTTGTGGTAACTTGAATCTGTATCTCATATTTGGATCATATTTTCAATTATGATTTGAAGTTCCCACAACAGCTGCAGATTTCCTGTTTAAGGAAAGCCAAGATTCTCCGACACCTGACCCATTGTTGGTAAAGAAATGAATTTTGTTACTTTGCTAAAAGTGCAGGTGTTGGCCACTGTGAATACAGGTGGTATGTTTCAAAGACAGACAATAATCTACAGAATCAAGTAATACACTGGTCTGATTGTGAAATTTTATCTCCACATGCTTTTGAGTTACTTTTTTGTTTCCTAAAGCATTTTGCCAGATAAATACTCTCTTTTCCCCCTTTGCATTTCAAATTTTGTGTCTTAAATATTGTTTCTACTGCTGTGCTTTAAGGACAATTTTAAGTCCTTGTACACCACAATCCACCAGGACTAAAGCTGAAGGTAAAATTTCTGATACAAAAGCAGAAAACAGCCTGAGAGGTTCATAAAAAGGCCATATAAAGCCCAACTTTAGTTGCAGCAGTATTGTTAAATTCAAGCCTCAAAGAGAAGAAACAGGTGGGCATGGCAAAGGGTCCTTTATCCAGCATTACCTGGGGGGAGTGAGGACGCTCATGTAGCTCCCTGCTGCTTGAGCTCTTTTGGTACAGCACTGTGCTTCAGCTGCAAATCTGTGCAGGCAAAAACCTGTGTGTATGCTATGCCTAAATTGGGGAGGGGGTGGGGGGCAGATCTGCACATCTACATGTGGGAAGCAAGTTCTTATCACCTGCTGCCTGCAAGCCAAGCACATCCCCCTCACACATGAAGGCCCAGTTTTGCCCTGTGGTTTCCCCAGACACCCCCCTCCCTGCATCTCTGTGTAGCTGTTGCTCAAACAGGAACTGTTTTGCCTTTGCAGCCTTTAGCAGATGATGCTTTAATCTCCCTTTGGCATCTCCCTGTCAGTTGCCAATGCAGCCATGTGCACATCTGAGAGCAAATTTTCTAGGACAGCACTGGGAGGTAAAATGCTTTCCCTATTTGTTTTCTCTGCTTTCATCCTAGCTCCTCCTTCTTCCATTTCTGGCCCCTTTTTATATCCTCCCCACCTTTTGCTGGCCTCTGACTGCAAAAGCAAACTGGTACTTGTTGCTGGTGCTGGGACCCTTATATAAGTCAACCCCTGTGAGCCAAGAGTCTGAGCTGCAGTAAACCTGCAGCTGCTTCATGATGCAGGAGGGTGATGGGGCTTACCACTTCTTGTGCCACTTGCCCCTGCCTCTCTTCTGCTTCCTTGGCCGATCCAGAAGGGCCATGCTGTGCCAGCCCACCTGGCTGCAAGCTGCAGAGAAATCCCTGGTTTGTCAGTCCAGGAGCCCAAAGCAACTGAAAGACCTTCCCAGAGCCACGAGCTTGTCCTACTGCTGGGAAATGCTTCTGTGCCCTTTCAAGCAGACATCCAGAGCTGCAGTTTAAAATGTCACTCAGAAATGTTCTGTGCCTGCAGATGGAAGGGTTGACGTGGCGTCTGCCAGCTGTTGTTTTGTCCACTGTGAGACCCCCTTGCCCTCTCCAGAGATGCAGGTCCTTAGAGGAGTTACCTCACCAGAGAGAAAAACGTTGAATGATGCAGAGCTACCCTCCTTGTCATGTTTCTGCTTGTCTTGCTTAGGCATTTTTGAAACTCCTCTGAGCCCCCCACCCAGTGTTTTATAGGGTCCTTAGCACTGAAAATCAGTCTCAGCATGAGCCTCAGTCCCTCTCCTATCAGCTTTCAGTAACAATAAATGGAAAGCAAATACAAATCTTCACCCCATCAGAAACCGCAGCTGAAAAGATGTCCTATTGTTTCATAAGCTACTTTTATTTTGGAGCCTTCAGACCTGTGGCACATCCTCTGCAAAGGTTAAATTCAAAATTTACTGCACAAGCTAGGGAGGAAAGTCTGAATCTCAGCACACTTGAAAGTCCCCAAACCCCTCCAAAACAAAATGGAAGTGTCTCTGGTTCAAGGCAGCCTACACGGCAGTGAGCTGCAGGAGCTGTAAGCTATTATTTTAGTTCCCAAGAAAAGTAATTACTATAGCAACCAACACATCCGAATGGCTCTTTGGCTGCTGCCGAGACACAAACAACTTGCACACAAAGGCACATCAGAAACATGCTGTGTAAAATGTTCTCGGGTAGCTCTGTGTTTTCCAGAGCTCTATAAAATGTGCGTAACAGGCTTCTGAGAAATGACTGTCAGCATAACAGCAAGCAATTGTGCCATGCCACGATCCCAAAATAACCTAATCAATGGCTCAGTCTATTTGCCCCTGAAGAGATGAAAAAAAAAAAAAAAAAAAAAAAAAAAAAAAGCAGAGGCTCCATTTTAAGCCTATGTGCCGGGAAGTTCCCAGCAGAGCTGAAGATGCATGCAACAAACAGACAATAAAATGGTGGGGGAATGTCTCCGCTGATTTCAACCCCCTGCAGGCTTCACGTGCCAGCTCATCTCCTCGGGCTTATACAGAGAGTGTTGGGGAAAGGGATTTAATTACAGCCTTGTAATGCTGGAGGGTGTAAGAAGCAATGTCTGTGTTCTTTTCTGTGTTTGTGCAGCAACCAGCCCCCACAGATCACATCTCCAGCTGCAGTGCTGGGCACATCACTGCTGCTCTTACTGAACAAGGAAGTTTCTTGGGCAACAGCAAGATGTAACCACTGGCCATTGCTTAAGTATTACAGCATTTGGAGCGTCTCTGTCACATTCAAATCAAAATGCCACTGGTGTGTAACAGCTTGAGAGCTCCTGGCCTCTGCCCACAAAGCTGCACCACTTCATGGTGCCGAGACAAACACCCTGGCTTCCCCAAAACAAGAGATCTGATCCAAGCAACCTGGTCCAGGAGTATGTCCAAAGTTTCCTCACAGGACACACACCATGTCACCTGTCTCAAGGTGAGCAGCATTAACATCACTCTCCTGTTCCATTGCAGAAGGCAGCTGTGATGAAAATGGAGGTTATGGATCTGGGTAACTCAGAACAGAGTTGGATCCTATAGGTGAGCACAACACATCAGAAACTTGAATTTCCCTTTAAAATTATTTTCTTAACCAGTTGAGTCCTCAAGTCTTGCTCTGTGTCCAGAATAAACTGCAAATCACAGCTGGATTTAAGATAAAGACAAAATGAAGGAAGGAAATGTAGTGATGTAATTTATTACAGAACTGCCTGATGACCAAATTAAAAAAAGATCTTCTCATAAAGACAGAGTTTTGGTTGACTGTAGCCTTTTAAGTAAAGTTACTTTATTTTGGATTAAAGAAAAGCATGGGGAAAAAAGCAAAGTATTTTTAAAAATATATTGAAAAAATAAAGTATGTGTACAAAAATAGCATAAGCATGTATAATATCCAATGCTTCACTTCTGTTGTGCAAAACGATAGCTGCCCTGCAGGCTCCTGGAATTTCCAAGCTTCTGATCCCAGGGAAATAAATTCTTCCCTGTAATTTTTCTCATAACAACTTTATTATGTGATAGGAGCTGATAGTGTGTTAAATGGCTCCCCTAAACAAAAACCAAAATTAAACAAAACCAAACAAAAAACCCCAAACAAACAACAACAACAAATTTCTTTTTCACAATGTACCTTTTTTTCAGCTTTGTGGTGGGGAAAAGACAGGACCACTCACAGGCTGACTTTCCAGTTTGCCTTTTGTACTAAATAGAAATGTCTTGCCTGGTGTCGAGGAGCTGGGACCAGTGGGACCAGACACATAACCTGCCTTCATGTCACACTTTTTCTATACCTACTGTTAGAGCAGATAAATCCTTGTTCCTCACCAGCATTTTGCTTTTTGGCTTGGGAAAGGCTGCTGCATTTTCCAAATGTGAGAGAGGGCAGATAAGGACTTGAGAGCTGGTGAGCTCTGCCCAACTGCTTGTGCAGAGCTGCAAGGCAGAGAAGTGAAACCAAAGTCTCAGAGATGAATAGCGAGCTCTTCTGAGCTGTGGAAGTGCCCTGCTGCCAATGCCAGGTGTGTTCAGGCCCAGTACTGCAGTTTTCTTCTGGAAAGAAAGAGGAGAAAATGAAAGGAGCTTGCATTTGACCATCAGTATAAGCAAAACTCAGTGTTGAACAAGGCCCCAAACCCCCACTTTTTTAAAAATAAGAATGACTAAAAAGGAAATCCAGGGTGGTGAGATGTTGAACAGGATTTGCTTGTACCTTGCTCTGCTCTTTCTCCACCTCCCCCATTCAGCAGTGGTAGAGGGGCAGGATGCATTCAGAGGTGAGCCATGAGTAATCCTCAAAGTCATGAAGCAGGATTCTTGGAATACCTTGCTCAGATCCTGAAGCTGACATTGCTCCTTACTGTTCCCTGCAGGATTCAGGCTTGTGCAAGCTGGTTTCTGCTCTAGTTTATCTGCCAGCTTGAAAACTGTGTGGCTGGTTCACAAACAGATTTGTCCCTGGTATTGCTTTTGCAAGCACACAGCCTTAGATGGCCACTGGGGCTCGAGTGGTCTTGCATCTGTGAAGGGAGGTGAGAAAATCTCCGTCCGTCCGTCCATCCATCTGTCCAGCCATTCGTCCATCCATCTGGAGCCTTCCTTATTGCAAAATTTGAGCTGCTCCCTATCCTGTCTTGCATGGGAGGTGGTACTGATGAGCAGAAAAAAGTATGTTTGCTTCAAATGTCGTTTGTGGACAGAGAGCGTGGGTTGCGAAGGTGCAGAAGGAAACACAGGAACTGCCATTGCTAACAAAGAAATGCAGATTTCCAAACCATCTCTGCCCAGCCCCAGGTGGGAAGTTTGGCTTATGTGTTCACTTGGAATTTGTAGTTGGTCTTGTCAAAAGATAATGGCTGTGTTGGAAATTAATATTTAGCAAGCTCTGGTTCACCGATTCAGGTTTTTTGATGGGAGTTATTGGTTCTTTGAACAAATATTGAAAATGGGTCCTCATAGGAATACAAATTGTAGTGAGGTGCTCTTTTGCTTTGCACTAGAGAGGTCAAAAATGTGCACATACATTACTTAAATGTTGCCGGGGTTTTCCCCGCAGACTGAAAATACCTGCAAAGACTGCAGAAATCGGTATTTCAGAGGATGATGATTTTTGATGGAGTCTGGGTCAGAGCCACAGCTTTGATAATAGCAGCCCCCCGGCCAGCAAATGCTCTGAGCCTGATTTACAGCCCCGTCAGCAGGCGCTGCCTTGTGCCGGGCTGAGGGAGGGCACAAGGGGAGCAAACAGCATTTGGTCATGCACGCTGTGCACGGGCCGGGAAAGCCGTGTCGTTGCGATGGAAGTGGGCGAGGGGAGCTGCTGGAGGCGATGCTTCGCCCCTCGAAGGGGCCGGGCAGCGCAGCCGCCGCCTCGCTCCCTCCCCTGGCATCCCCCCGCTGCCCCGGCCGCCCCCGAGGCGCTGCCGCCGGTGGCCGCCCCGGGCGCGGCTCCGCTCCGCCGGGCGCGGCTCCGCTCCGCCCGCGGGAGCGAGGGGGCTGCTCTGGCTGCCCTTTGGAGCTGCGAGCGCTCCGCTCCCGCCGCCATTGCTTCTTCCTCCTGGGCTCCGTGCTTCCCGGGCAGGGCTGCGGCTCCCGCCGGGGGGGCCGGGTTCGGGGAGCGATGACGGCGGTGCGGAGAGAGGCGTTCGGGCGGATGGCCGCGGAGGAGGGAGGCGGAGAGGTGGAGAAGTTCGTCTTACAGTCGGACAGCGTGAGAGTGGAGATCCTGTCCTTTGGGTGCATCATCACCACTCTGGAGACAAAAGACAGGGATGGGCAGTTTTCAGATGTTGTCCTAGGATTTGACACTTTAGAAGGTGGGTTTTAATACGTTTCTTTAAAAAAAAAAAAAATTAAAAACGCACAATCGGGCAGTTTAACCAGCACTTACTAGTCTATTGCCACACTGCGTGACCTGCTTGTAAGGCCCCCTCCACCCCTCCCCACCTCCCCAAAATCATGGGCTGAAGAGATACAGTTAGATACAGTTCCTGCTGCCTTTGCTGGGCTCTGTGGTGGATGTGGAACTGGGACACTGGTGGTGGTGGTGTGCCACTCTGTTGTGGCAGATCTGAGTCATTCCTTACCTGGCAATGATGGAGGCCTTTTCTTCAAATCTGCAAATACAAGATCCCATCAAGGCTGCGTTAATCAAAGATGCGCAGCACTACCGAGCTGTGTGTCCTGTGAAATGCTGGGACTGCAGACTCCTGGAGACCGCCCATCCTGTTCCCATGGTTCTGTTTAACCGTGTGCTGTTTCTCTGGCCAGGTTACACGAGGAAGCACCCGTTCTTCGGTGCTGTCGTGGGCCGTGTTGCCAACAGGATTGCAAACGGGAGGTTCAGCCTGGACGGGAAGGAGTATCAGCTGTTCCTCAATAATGGGCCCAACAGCCTGCATGGAGGAGCCAAGGGATTTGACAAGGTGAAAATTCCAGTGTCCTGTCAGCATACAACCTGTGGGGTTGTGGCAAGAGTGTGTGATGTCTACACTTCTGAACCCTGTAGAATTTCCTGGTGGTTACTGAGTTGAATCAGGTCAGAAAGTGCTGTGAGTGCAGGAACACGGGGAAGTGAGACCCTGCAGGCTGCTGGGTTGGTTTGTCTTTGCCTGAGTTTGCAGGACTCACTTATGTCATCCTTGGATGCCAAGCTGAGGGTTGCTGTGCTTCGTCTGTGTGACTGCAGCCCTGAGCCTCATGAGCCCCTGAGTTCTGACAGGGTTGCTCTGGGCAAGGGCTGTCCTGGGCTGCTTCTGCACAGCCTAGGTTGGGACACAGCAGTGAGGACCAGCCCGGGAGCAGTGGAGGCTCCTCAGGCACCAGCTGCACCACCCTGGATGTGACATGGAGTTGTTCACGTGCCCAAAGAAAGCTTCCATGCAGACTCATTTCTACCTGCAGTCTCATGGCTGCTACCTGCCCATAGCTCCTCTCAGAGTCAGAAGGACATGAGTTTGCAGAAACTTATCATTGTTGTTTGCCTGTGACAGCACTCCCCAGTAAGGGAAGAGCAGGGTGGTGCTGCAGGTTCAGTCATTGCATTGCCCCCTTTGGTGCAGTTTCCATCCTGCGACAACATCCCCAGGCTGTCACTCTGCCTCACAGCAGAGGGGGATTAGATCAGGCCTGCAGAATGCCCCAGGATCCAGGATCACTGTCTCTCCTTCCTAGCCCTCCCCTATGACCTCCTGAGACGAAACAACCTTTCCCTGGCCCCAGGGCATGCAGCTTTTTTTCTCTCCTCCCAAGAGCTGCTGCTCAAGTCAGGTATTTGTATATAGATGGTAAGAGCAGTGGAGGGCCTCTTCTCTTGAAAGCCTTGCTGATAACCCTGCTCCATTGCAGAGCAGGCTCAGAAGTCTCTCCTGAAGCCTTGGGGTTTTTTGGATGAAGTACATTTCTAACCAGCAAGTAGCTGATCCACCATTTCCCCCAAAGAGCACATGAATGTGCTGGGTGCAGCTGCTTTCATGGGGTTAATGGGTTTTTTTTGTGAGAGGAATCCAGGCTGATGGGAAAAAAGCCAGAGTGCCTGAAAAAAAAAATCACAGTGTGAACTGGCATCAGGTTGGGATGAAATGCTCCTCAGCAGCCTTAGAAAAAAGGGAGTACTGGGGATAGCTTGGCTGTTGTACCTCCAAAGAGGACAGTTTGGTTGGTTTAAAGTTTCTTTATACAGCCTGACACCTGTGATCTGCAGCTGAAAACATGTGTTTCTCCACACCCAGGCCTTCCAGGCTGTTTTCTGCAGTCAGGGGATGTGGTCTCTTCTTCTGCTTCTTTACCTTTCTTACTTTCTGAAGTCTCACCAGCTTGCTGGGGAGAAGGTAGTGACATCTCCCAGCTGGAGCTTTGTGTCCTCTGGCCCACAGGGCACGCTTGGACACCTGCCCAAGACCCCCACCAGCCAGGAAACAGGCATTGTTCAGAGACAGTGAGCCCTAGCTGGTCAACCCTAACAAAAAACACACACTGGCACTTAGCTGTGATTATCTTGGTCATCTTCTGAGCTTTTCCTGATTTTGCAGACATCAGTGCTGCGGTCAGCATGTGGTCTGATGAGAGCATCCTGCAGCTGCACTTACAGGGCTGCAGTGTGCTGGTGGATTTTTGAAAATAACTCTCTTATCTTAAAAAAAAGTAGTGATACCTGTACGTTTCCTGGACTTTAATAGTTTTTTTTTCCAAAGAACTTAAATAGAAACTCATATTTAAATCCGCAGCATCCTTACTGTAGCTGTGGGAGCTGCAGTCAAACTGCACACTTTGTTGGAGGGCCTACTCTGCAGCCAGGTGTATTTGTCACCCTTAGGTTCTGTGTTTGGTGAAAATGCTGGCTTTTGACCATGCCCCCATGTTGGTGATCTCTGTGTAGGACATGAGAGGGATCAACTCAACAGCGCTACCTTGGCCCTTGTTCCTAAATCTGTCCACTTTGATTAGACACTAACTATTCCTCAGGGAAATGTGAAGCTCCAGAGAGCCTCCTGTTGGACATCCATCCTCCCAGCATGAGGTCCATGGCCAGGGCCAAACAGGCTGTCAGGGCAGCAGTGTGCTGGCTTGCTTGCCTTGCCAGCATGTTTGGTTCCAAGCTGAGTACTGGTGCTGGTCTCTGGCAGGGACAAGAACCAGAGAGGTCCCAGGTCTCTGGATGTGTCTGACAGCACATCTGGTACCATTTAGCCCAACCCCAGGCCCTGGGCAGGAGTCCCAAGTGTGTTCTTACTGTCCTTGAAGCCAGTGCCTGGGTGGCAGCTTGTTGAAGTGGTGTTGCACATGAGAAAATCCACGGAAAGGGGGTAAGTCCAGCTGCAGGGCAAAAACCAAATGTGTGGACTCTCAGGTATGGCATAACACAGACTGGAACAGATCCTTGTCAGACTGCCAAATTGCCTCCTTTGTTTGGCTGCTCAGTGGAAAGCTTGTTCCCTGCTGGTGGTCCTGGCTGACCAAGAGCAGGCTGGTGCTTGTGTTTTCCTTGGAAAGGTGATTGAAAAAGCCTTTGTTTTAGTGCAACATCCCTTGTGTGCCTTTTGTCCCTGTTTTTAGCCCAGCCTGGGGCAGAAGGGAAGGGCTCTGTGTTCCCATTCCTGTCCCACCAAGGCCGTGCTCCGTGCAGGTTCTCTGGAGCGCCCAGGTGCTCCCAAATGGTGTCCGCTTCTTCCGGCTCAGCCCCGATGGTGAGGAAGGCTACCCTGGTGACCTGAAGGTCTGGGTGACCTACACCCTTAGTGGCAGGGAGCTGGCCATCAACTACCAGGCCCAGAGCAGCAAGACAACCCCCATCAGCCTGACTAACCACGCGTACTTCAACCTGGCAGGGCAGGTAAGTGTGGGGAGATGGGCCCCGTGGAGAAACACTGTGCAGGGGCAGAAAGCCTGGGGATGGGATGGTCATTGGCACCAACCTGGTCTGGGGACACATCATGGTTTTGGGGACACAGCAGTGAAGGTTGTCTCTGTGCTTCATGGGCTGCATGCAGGAAGGGGATTGAATCATGTGGATCTCAGCTGAGGACAAGTCTGCATCCAGATGAGCATGATAATTCTTTTGTGTGTAACTGGGGAGTTTTGCTCTCTTGGTCCCTTGGGAAGATTAAGGAGGAGGTGCAGAGCTGGCATGCCCTGGTGGTGGCCTGGCATTTCTTAATTGTGTTCTGCTGGCATTTCTGAAAGGGTGATGCAGGTTGAAATCAGGGCCTGGAGTGGTAGCACCAAAACACCCAAGTCAAAATGGGCAGAAGAAACATCACAGAAAGGGGATGTAAGGTAGCCAGGATTGCAACTAGCAAGGCTGCAGCAGCCGGATGCAGAGGGCTCCTACACACCTGTACAGGGTCTTGTTAACCACATGGACAGTGAATTGCAGCTGTGTCTTAATCTCACAGTTTATAACTGTGCTTGGAGGAAAAGGATCTGAGAAATAAAGTATTGCTGGGCAGAGCCATAGGATAACACAGTGCAGTCACATTTGGATGTGAGACAAAGGCTCTTAAAAGTGTGAGAGACAACCCAGCCCCTCCGAGCAGGAGCTGTGCCCAGGCTGCTGCCCTGAGAATGGCTGTGCAGTTGTTGTTGCTGGTGCTCCCAGAGGTGCAGCAATATCAGCACGTGCAGCGTGCAACTCAGGTGTGCTCCAGAGGAACAGGAGACCTTTGGGCACAAAATTGCTGCTCAGATTAGATAGTGACCTGAAGGTTCAGCTTTGATCCTGCTCCCCTTCCAGCCCAGCAGGTTCCCTGCCCACACTCCTGAGGCTGTGGAAGAGGAGGAGGAGCACACCCCGGCAGCAATGCAGATGAGACAGGAGGGTGGGTTGCATTTCCCCTTGCTTGCTTCCTTCCCCTTCTCCCTGCTGCTGTGTGCTCAGTACCCAGCACGTTTTGGCTCATCACTCTGCAGGGTGGTAGCCCTCAGTGAGGTACTAGACAGACTGATGGCCCCATTCCTGTGGGATTTACAGCTCCTATGGCCCATGAAGGTTTTTGCCTGGGCTAGTGCCTTTGTCCTGTGCCCAAGATCAAGGTGGAATGAGGGTCAGGAGGTGCTCCAGGCACTACCAAATCAGCTGGGCAGCACTGTGCACTGTGATTTCACAACTGTGCTTAGGGCTGCTTGAACAGTGGCTGCAAGAGGAATCCCAGCATTTCCCATCCTCCTGCAGGGCTCCCTGGATGTCTATGACCACGAGATCTCCATTGAAGCAGATTCCTACCTGCCTGTGGATGACACCCAGATCCCTACTGGTAGGCAGTGCCGTGCTTGTGGCACCAGGTGGAAGTGATCCTTCTGAGCAATGTTGGTGGGTGTGGGCAGCAGCACTGCTTGGCAAGGGGGGCACACCAGCACCCAGGGGACCCCAGGCACAGCGGGGCCCTCACCTTTGGGTGCAGTCCCACTTCATGTGAGCAGGGTGGGCAGCACCAGGTGCTGGTAACTGGGTCCATCACCAGCCCCAGGGAACAGGCAAGAGCAGCAGGAAATGGGGCCAGAGGCACAGGGGATGTGAGGTTGTTATGTGAGTCCATTCAGGAGACACGCTCCCTGTGGATTTGGAGGAGAAGATTCTTCGGTCCAGGTGGCCTCTGCTCAGCTTGATGTGCCATGCTTGTGGACAAATAGGGGAAGAGCTTAAGGCCATACCCAATCCAGTGGCCGACTTCTCCCTGCTGCTTTCACCATGGAGCTGTTTCACATCTTAGTTGTGGCCAGCTTGCTACGACTGCCTTTTGCAGTTCCTTCTTGTGTGGGTAGTCTTAGTCTTGGGGTGAAAATAAGATTTGTGCAATTATTAAAGACAGACACTTTGTGTGCAATGCCTGCTGTATTTTATGTAAGTGCCTGAATTGGAACAGTTTAATTTTTTTTTTTTTCAAGGCATTTACTCTGCCCTCCATGCAAAACCCCTCACTTTTGGGTTGGGGTGACTGTTTTGCACTGTGTTTAGTATGTCCTGGGGTTGTTTGTGTTGCTTTATCACAGGACACTGCATGCCCACAGCAGTCTTAACAAGGACAAGGGAGAAAATGCTGGGTTTGTACATATACAATCTTTCATGCATTTTCTTGCTCCTTGTCTGTGCTTTGTCCCTGCTAAGTACAGCAGTGTCCCCAGGAGCTGCCAGCTGTGCTGGGGACATGGTAGGTTTTGCTGGCATGTGGCTGAATGGCTGAGCCTGCTGTTCCCCTTGCTTAGGGGAGGTGGCTGCCGTGCAGGGCACTGGCTTTGATCTCCGGCAGCCTGTGGAGCTGGGCAAGCACTTGCAGAAGTTTCACCTGGATGGCTTTGACCACAACTTCTGCCTGCATCAGGGGCAGGATCGACGCCTCGTGGCCAGGTAGGCTGGGACCTTGGCAGGAGTCCCCACCCCTGGAGCCAAGAGGTGCCCGTTCAGCCAGTCCCATGTCATCCTCCGTTGGCATCTCTGCAGGGTTTTCCACCCGCCCTCTGGCAGGACCATGGAGGTTCACACCACCCAGCCTGGCATCCAGTTTTACACCGGAAACAACCTGGATGGCTCCCTGAAGGGCAAAGGTGCTGCCACGTACTCCAGGCACTCGGCTTTCTGCCTGGAAACCCAGAACTGGCCCGATGCCGTTAACAAGGTGAGCTGTCCATTCCCCTCCCATGGTCACTTGGGTCCTGTGGCAGGGGACATACCCCCACCACGCTCCATGTCTCTGGGGCACTAAATGGAGGAGCAGAGTCTGCTTCTCAAGGGGACACTGCAGATGCCAGAAGTGAGGCAGGCAAACGTCACCGTGGCTTTAGACAGGGGTCAGTCAGCGCAGCAGGGACTGGCCCTGTGCAGCCCAACTTCCCAAAGCTGGGGGGTCCAGAGCGGATGGCCCTGCTGGGGCCTTGCCACATCCTCTGCCTGGATTCAACCAGCAGTGGGACTCACCCACTCTGCCCGCTGGCAAGTCGCGGGTGGTTACACACTGCTGCTGGAAATGGCTGGGGGCAGCTGTGGGAATATGTCTTGGGAAGAACAAAGGCATGCAGCCATGCTTTCTGGTCCCATGGAATGGAATGTGTTCAGTCACTGATATGCTGCTGTTTCTCCCCAGCCTCATTTCCCCAACGTCCTGCTCCATCCGGGTGAGGAATACAACCACACCACGTGGCTTGTGTTCAGCACTGCTTGAGGAGAAGGGCTGCTGACTCCCAGCACTGAGAGGGGTAAGTGCCTCTAGCAGCCGAGCCAGAAATCCTGCCAGGTGCCAAACAGAGCTTTCCAACCACCCTGGGTGATGCATCTGATACAGGAGCCTTTATCCTCTGTGGTTTTCACATGTGGTTTCTGCTGGCTTTAGCTCCTGTCACCACCTCTGCTGCTGTCTGGTCTGTGCAAAAGTCTCACACTCTGTCCAGCCTCTCACCCTGGGCACTGGGTTTTGTTTTGCAGTAAAAATGCACTGAAAACACCTTGTTTAGGGGCATGACATCACAGCTCCAACTACAGCAGGGGAATATCTGGTAATATTCATGTGGAGCATGTGGGAAGGCTGATGCAGTTGTGGTTGTTACAACATCTGCTCCTTCCATCAAAGTGCTCCAAGTGGTGTACAGTGCTGATGCAGGACAGCTTTGAGGAGGACAGTGTGCTGGGATTATCCCAGCTGGCTGCCCTGGATGCTCTGGTTAAACTCCTATGCTCTGTCTTGGTTGCTGAAGTGGGCACACCCATTTAGTCCTGAATATACGACTGTAGGAGAAAACCTGTCATCCTAGCACTGTTTCCACATGAAATCTCCAAAACCTTGTATGAGGGAACTATTTGATGAAAACCTCCATGTTTCTGAGGGTTCAGAAAAATTGGCACAAGCCAGGGGATGACAGCACCATCCTATTAGGGAGCTGGTAGCCCACTCCGCAGGGAAACAGGCTGACATTAGGCATCATGTCCCACCTTCTCCTGCCATGCTGTTGCACCCATGGCCTGCAGCACTTCACCATGCTTCCTCAGCTGCTCTTCTGCTCGGTATTCCAGTGTCTCTGGGTACTGAAAAACAGGTACCAGTAGAGCTGTCGTGTCAGTCTGCAGGTTTATTGTGGAGCAGAGCAGGTTCGCCTTGAGTACAGAAAAAAAAAGGCGATGAAATTCCAGAGCAGTGGCATACGTGTGCCTTGCACCAGGTACACAATGCACAACCAGTAAAATATTCCAAACACCTATCACAGGCTTCAGGCATTTGGGCTGCAGGGTAACATCTGTATCAGCCCGCCACAGTGGGATTTGGTGAGTATGGCCAGAATCCACCTGGAGCACCAATGGCCATGGTGAGCCCCGGAGAGGATCCAGGCACAGCGAGGACCAGGAATAAAGGCCAGAGGATGCTGCAGCAAACAGCACCTTCAGGATCTGGACTGTTGACTCATCCACCAGAAAAGCTCCATGCAGTCATTATTAACAGGAAATCTGTTTCTTCAGAACCACGTGTTACCCCACATGTAACAAAGTCTTCTTGTAATTTCATTTATAAACTGTTCTGCTGTGGTTTACACGGTGGAAGCAAACTGCTATGATAGATTTCATTAAGCCCAAACAGGCCTGGCTTTCCATTTCAGTGCTTACTTGTTGCTGAAACTGGCCTTTATTTCTGCTAGATAGCCAAATGCAGCAAAAAGAAAAGATGCTTTTCACCCCTCTGCCTACCCTACTGTTCACAGTCCAACACTGTTGCCAGTCCCTTGCTGTGATCTGTGTTGAAGTGCTTTATCATACAAGTCCTTTGTACAGAATGAGGACAACTGGACACACCTATACACAAATAAAGACTCCTGCAGGTTATGTATTTGCTGTAAGAAATTGGGATCATTCAACAAAGCCATCTCCGGGATATGGGCTGCTTGACAACCATACCAGTTTCTGTGAAGCAGGTTAGAACTCCTGAGGGCAGCTGAGATTCTTTCATTTTAAGGACCTTCCCTCAAAAAAGGAAAGCACACCTTCAGATATTTTAAAAAGTTTTCTTTACATCAATAGCCTAAGGAACTAAAAAAATGCAAGAAGTGAAACTAGCAAATGCCAAGTTATTAATTATTTCTATTACCTTTAGAGGTTTCTGCATATTTAGTTGCTTAAAAGATGTGTTTGGGAGGCAAGTTTATCCTTACATTTTTGGGCCATCTGGTATCAACAGTCAAACACCAGAGAATGAGCTTTGCAGAATAAGCAGATCAGGCAGAAAAATGAATGCCCTCTAAATATCAAGGAATGAAAAGGGTATATGCAAATTTTTATCCATCTGCAGACAGAGATGGATTCTAAATTCCATTTTGAAGAGAACAGGAATCCTTTCACCAAAGACATTCAACAGTACATGTGAAAAGTGACTACCTTGAGAAGACACCAGCTGGGATTAGTGATTCCCATTTTTGACATTTTTCATCCACGTTACATGGCACACAGCTAAAATTACCCAAACGTTAACAGAAGCAGCAGGGTTACTTCAGAGAAGTTTTAGTTAAAAATACACATTTTATTTCAATGTGCCAATAAAAAAGTCCCACATTTTCGTATCACAGGAAGTTAATTCATACAATAAAAAGAGACCTGTGCTAGTCTATTGCTGTGACTAACTCAGAAGACCCAGATCATGCCAAATTTTAGTTGATATACTCTTCTATCTACATTCTTACATTTACAAAGACACCACAAAATCCCTTATAATAATGTAAGCAAAATAGCTTTCTTCCTAAAAGATTAACTTCATAACTTTAATCCATTCTTTCAGGACTTGCACTTCGTTGAGGGCTTCCTGATGGTGAACGGCTGAAAGGAAAACAATCCACAATTAACATTTCAGTAGTTGCTTGGGAATCACAAATACAGGAAAAAGCAACAAGAGTATACCAGACTGGCTCTTTTTAAGCACTTTTTAAATAAAATAACCAATCACTACTGACAAAAGCTAACAGGTTGATGATCTGGAGATAACACTTTTTTTCTTTACTGTTATTTTTAAAATGAAATCACTGCAAGGCCATCTAAAGGGTATTACTTATAGCGACTTCTGAAGGGGCATGATACTTCTTCACTGCTCTGATACAGCAGCTTGTCAAAACCTGTCACGGCAATCACTCAGCATTTATGAGTATTCTTTGATGCTCTTGTGATTGACATTAAACTTGTAAAAATTATCTATTAAAGAATTCTAATTAGAGAAAAAATGCTGCTGTTTCTGTCATTCCACAAATTCTACACATTACTCTGTGCATATACACAGAGAGAGAACTATTTACTGACTTACTGCAAAAGAAAAAAATAATCTAACAGCACTGAACATAAGAGGTCTGATCTTCCATTCCTTGACTGCTGTGCCAGGGTACTCCACTCTACCTTCCCCAATGTCAGTGTAGCTTTCAATGAGACTGAAAGCTGATTTTCTACATTTATGCTATGCTTTAAGCTCATCAGTCTCTGTGCAATATAACTGTTAGTTTTATTGGAACCAAAGGGAACAAAAGGAATAGGGGAGCAGACAAGATACTGCTACATAACCCTGAGCATTTATCACCACATACATATTACTATATAGAAAGCCACAACCACATTATTGCTGTGAAAGAGATCTCAGCAAAATACCTTTCCAGTACTTTGCTACAAGCAGCAATCACACTCCTCAGCAGAGATCAGTGCAGACACTAAAATGCCAACTCTACGGAGCCTACGCTATCAGTAGGGACACCAACGTACCTTCTCTTTGGAGACGGTGACCGGGACTTCGACCGGCTGCCAAAACAGAAAGCATCAATGCAGCTTAAATGTCAAATGCAACTCTTACGTTTAAAAAAGCCCCAACCTATCAGAAAGCAAATCATAAGGAATCTAGCCAGAAGGTCTTTCCCATCTCAGTTTTCAGATCAACTTTTACTCTGACAGGGATTCTCCATTTATTTACTGTGGAGATGCATTTTAAGCAACTTTCTTCAGCAAACAGAAAAACAAGGGGTGGTGCTAAGATGAGGCTTTGAGAAAAGCAACATCACCGGATTGCTGTTTTAAGAAAAGCACTAACACAGTTCAAGCTCTTTATCTCATTGACAGAAAAAATTAACAGACTGAGCACAAAGGCACAAAAAATTAGTACTATGTTGGAAAACATGAAGAGTTAATGAAAACCCAGAGACAGATAAGGAACACATTCCCAAGAGCTGCAGAGGAAATGCTGTAATTTCTGTCATATCACAAAGAAATTAGCTGGGGACCCCTGTTAGGGGGATATTTTCCTAAAGGACCAGGCTGTGTTAATCATGCAAACCTAAATCTGAGATGCTACTGCAGGCTGTGTGTGTGTGCGCTCACCTCTTAGCCGGCGAGCCAGACTTTGATCTGCCATGAGACCTAGACCTGCAAGGAAAGACACAGCTCAGCAGGGAAACAAGAGCATGCAGGTTCCCATATTTAGGACAGGACTCACACCCAGTGGATGAGCACTGCATGCTGAATACACAGAATCCTGCACATTTCCAGGGTTTTGCCTGTTAAGTTTCCAAATAAGTGTTTTTAAATGGATGCTGCACATGTTGCTCTGTACTTTGGTCCCTATCTGATGAGCAGTGTTTGCTGATACAGGTGGCAGGAACACAGGAACAACCCAAATCCTGACCAGTATTTTCAGAGAACTAATAAAAAGCCATGCAGGTTTTATTAGCCTTGAGCAGCATCTGACACTGCAGTTGCAGACAGCTCATTC